GATAACGTGTCGCTCGTGAATCATTACGAACTTTTCAACTGTGCAAATCTCGTTACGTATGCGCCGACATGTTGTACTATAGCATGCATAATCGATGGCATTTGCGGCCGTTATCTTGAACAAACAACGAAAAAATATCTCAGCCTCGTAACCGCAGACGCGATCGAGGATAAATAATAACAAGCTTTTCTGATGTGCGTAATTCGATTTGATGATTAATTAAATCGCGATGTTATATATAAAAAAAAAATTAATAAATTCTCGCATTAATATAACTCAGAAGTGAAAAACGTAGTACATTTCAGGGATTGGCGTGAAAAGTAATATCTTTTCTTCAGTTTGAATGACTAAGCTAAAGTTTCTTGTTAAACTTACTAAAAGAAAGTTGGCTAAATTGCCGAGAGTTGTCAGGATTGGCAAATAATCGCGAAATTAAATTTCCAGCGTCATGCTGGCGCATCTGCGTGCGCGTCCTCCGGTTTATTTCCGCCGGTAATTAAAAAGTAAACATAGGAGCGAGTCGCCCCGGAGTTTCTCGTCACGCTAACGTCAAATGCAAATCGTGCATTTAATTCACGTTTAATTGACCTGTTACAGTTGCTGATGTTCGCGGCCGTAGGCGCGTTCATGCACGTGGTGGCCGGAAGCTTGATGGTCCACAATTGGCGCCAGATGAACGGTCCTTACTATTACGTGCACAACAATGAGATTCATCCCAGCAAGCAGTACATGGACATGCTTGTATCAGCGGCCGTGTTTACATTAGTGAACGCAGCGGTATTTGTCGCGGAAATTATCGCCATTATAAGATACGCGGCGTGAATACGTTCTTCTCGCGAGAAGAAAGTCCGTTGATCCAAACGAGTTGAAGGACTCGCGAGTGTCACCAAAGCTATGGATAGTCCATTTTAAAACAGACAAAAGAAAAAAAAAGTAAAAGATTTTAATCTCTTAATGTTTATTGTAATTATTATTATAAGCAGTGTTTCACCAAGCTTTCTGAAATTTACGTCAACGACCGTCGCCTTGATGCTTGAATATTTTATAAATCAAGAAATTAAAAAAATTAAAGATAAAAAAAGATTGTATTTGTTAAATTGTCACGGTTTCAATATTGTTTATTGCAAGGAAAGATATGTGGTGAAATGAATTGTAAACTCTTTTAAAAGTATTATTTTGGTAAAATTACCGAACACATTCATATAAAGTCATATTAGACGTAGTAATGATATAATATTATATTTGTTATCACAGTAGTAGCATGTAAGGTCGTGTATATGCGTGTAATTATTGTTAGAAAAGATTTAGCAATTAGTACAATTAGTATAGTTACAGTAATTATTTAGTAACGAGACCAACTGCGAAATTGCAATCTTCGCGCACAACAGCTGCGATTGCCGAAACATTCTTTGCTACATGGATAAAAAAAATATCCATTCGCGTACAAATCCGTCCATTTTTGTACCTAAAGCGTTTTATTTCTACAAAATGTTGCAATATACAAACTATAAACTATGTTTTTAAGTGTGGAATCAAAAGGATCTCTTTCTACGTATTTTATATTTAACGGTAACTTATCTGTGTTTCTTTATACATCTTTCTATATGTAAATTATGTCTATTTATCAGGTTGCAGCTGATGATAAATTTGTGCAGCAACATTGATAAGAATGCACATGCGAAATTTGTTCATTAAAGTTTCATGCTCTATATGTATTTTCTTTTTTATCAAATGCTTGTATTTTGTATAAAAATAAAATAAATATAAAGGTGTAAAGATTAAAGTTTATTGAATATTTATCTTATTTCATCGAAATATGGAGAATAGTTTTTGGATGTCTCTTAACGTTCGTTTTACATGCAGACGATATAAAAGAGATGTTATAAAATCGAAATATCGATTGCCGAAACATTCTTTGCTATTCGGATAAAAAAAATATCCATTCGCGTACAAATCCGTCCATTTTTGTACCTAAAGCGTTTTATTTCTACAAAATGTTGTAATAAAATTGTAAAAATGTTCTTGAATGAAAGAGGATATAAAGAAAAATCTAGTAAAAAATGGGAAAGCATAAGTACTTATGTCATTCTTTCTCTTCTCCATGCTTCTTATACACGAAGTTAGTCATTCTATAGCATGACAATGATTTTAATCGAGGAAACAAAAATATGCAAAACATGTCCTTGTAAATGTCAAAAAGTTTGAAATAGAATCTTTTCACGTGTGCGTATATGTTAGCACTCGTTTTACGTTGTAATATGTTATGTCGTGACATTATGTCATATGTTATATAATATTACTACGTTGAATATCCGTGAAGGGCAAAATGGTAAGAAGCAAAGCGGGAAAGAACAGAGCGGCGAGGGTAAAATTACCAGAAATAAATATGCATGATTCAAACCAGCAGAAGCTGTTGCAGCACAAAACCAGCAGATGCGTATCAGTGATAATCAAGCCGCTGAGGATATTTCAATTCGTGCGTATTAGAAATCTTATTATTTCATTCAATTGCTTGAATGAAATAATTAATATCAGAAAAATATCAGAATGGATAATCTTTCGCGCTATAAAATTTTCTTCCTCGCGACAGTTTGCGGTGCTGCTAGTGTTCGCGTTCACGATCTACATGATCGTTATGGATCCTATGCCGATAAGCGCACTCGCCTGCATCCTCCTGATTGTCCTATCAGGCGTATACGTTTTCGTCTTAGCCGTCGAGTTGATCAGTCACTTTGCCGGGGGCGCCTTACACGTTATTCCGGTAATTTACGACGCACTGTGCGCATTACTGTTCAGTGAAATCAGAGTCACGTAAAAAAAAACACTGCTTGAAACTTGATGTCTTTAAAATTTTAAGCGTCTTTTAAGAACGCAGACCAAACGCATTCAAGAACACATTTACCAAAACGTGATACATCAACAAATTGAATGAAAGAATATTTATTGCGCGCATTGTATATTTATTATTAATAAATGTTAATAATAATTTTATAAAGTGTGTAGTGTTTTCTGATTTCATTGAAAAAGAAATAAATATAATTATTATTATTAATGACGAGTAGAAATATTTTTCTTCTGTATAAATCTTTCAGATGGGCATATTCTCCTTTCTTGGCTTCGTATTTTTCGGGGTTGCCGGGATTTTAATGATTTTTAACGCCTATACACAACTCGTGGTGCAAATAACGGCGATGGCACTGTGTTTATTGGCAGCGCTGTTATTCTTGATTGACATCACGATGGTACTCGCGTGAGTCTCGACCTTAAATCTTTGAGACAGAGATGGGTGCGAGGCAAAGACCCAGAGAGATAGAATTATAATATAATAAAAGCATACGTTTCCAGATTTTGGAAAAGAAGATGCACGGCCTGTAAACGATGTTGTGATAATAGCGCGCCGGAACTTTTGCCGCACAAAAACGAAGAACCAAAGAAAGAGATTTCACCAGAAACCGAAGTGAGTACTCGTGGAGACAAACGTAAAATTAAAACATTCAGTTCTATAAATCACAGAATTTAAATTTAATCAAAATTTAATCAAATTAATAAAATTTTTTATTAATTTAATTAAATTATTTTATTTTTGCGCATATAAATTCTAAGACATAATTTGATTTCTCGGAGACGACCTTCGCGTATCGAATAAATTTATCTCAACTTCGCAGTACCGTAAATTAAAAGTCACTTACCGTTTTATATTCTAATTCATATCTCTCGAGTATAAATGTAGATAATGAGGCACGATGTAACGACCAGCCTGAGTGACGTCAGAGTACCCCGCGAACTGGAGAACGCGAACGTCGCAATCCCCGATCACTGTTACCGCAAAGTCGAGAACGCCCGACGGCGAGAGTACGTCGATTGTCCTACCTGCGTGCCGTCGTTATGCAATCTCGGCGAGGCCCAAATTCAAACGGAAACGAAAAAGGTGTCCGTCGTGGAAATTCAAGTGAGTCGGATTCAAGCGTTATTTCCAACTCTTATCAACTTAGATTTTTTTTCTTTTTACCCGAAAATAAATCTGCCTGTGAGAAATTTTAATTGAGGAAAAGAGATGTCCCGGGGCCGTACTTTGTATTTGTCGTGATTTGTTGGAAAAGAACCTCCTGCGTTTGTTGTCTGCCTTTTCTTAAATCCGTACGCGTGTTTTCCGGACGAGATCAGACTCCAAGCGCGGTCACGAAGGAGACGCCGATGCAGACGTTGAGCAAATGCGAGTTCTGTCACCAACAAATACAACTCCCCGTCGAAGGGGCTGGCGTGCCCGGTGCGCATTGTTTCCAGCAACCGTCATCGCAATGGAGTTACCCCGCCGTCGTGCAGTTCGTTCGCGGAGGGGGCGTGCCGTGTTGCCCCGGGTAATTTTCTAGTTTTTATATCCAGGAAATCTCTGGAAAGAGTGACACGGATCCTCCCGCAGATGCAAATGCGGAACGGACGCGGCACAGACGCAGCAGCAGCAGCAGCAGCAGCAGCAACAGCAACCGCAGGAATCAACGCAGCAAAAACCAGAGCAAAAACGTACGGGATGGCTGACGCCAAAAGTGAAGTCAAATCCTAGCAAAACGTTGACGAGTGAGACAACACAGCAGGTTGCGAGTAAATCTGATACATCATACGGAATTGTGTGGAATTCTTATTGTTCAGAGTCAGAGATGTGATGAAAAGTTGTTGCTTCAAAGAGCGGAGCGATTTTTTTTTAATAATCACCTGTTGAGCGATTTCCAGCCCGATTTACTCTGTCTCATTCACGCAATAATTCAGATCTGACTCTGAATTTCGCGCGGTGACATTACTGTCGTTTACGAATAATAATTGTCGCCTAAAGGTACCGAAAATAAAAACAACGACAATGTTACGAGCTTGATGAAGACCCAACCAATCACCACGTATACCGTCGCTGCATTTTATGATGCGGATAAGAAAATGCAGACCGTACCGGATATTGTGTATGTGTGACATAAATTTATACGACAATCTTTGAAAACAATTACTCTATCCGAAAGTATTTAACCCCTGAACGTAAAAGAAAGATTTTTGATGACATTCTTCCAACACCTTCAATGAAATTCTTTTCTATCTTCTGGATCATCTCTAAAGAAAATTGAAGGCTATCTTTCGATAGTATTTAATTTAAAATTAAATAATTTCTTAATTATTTAAATATTTTTGCAAAATTTATTGTTATTATCGTCTAATAGTTAAAATAAAAAAATATACGTAACAAAGGTCTAAATTAAAAGTTGAAAACTACGATTTATACTACGGTCCAATTAATCTTAGCCACAAACGAAAAATGGATGCAACAAAGATAAAGAAGGGAGCGAAACCGACAAGCGAAGACGATGATCGAAACTTCGCGGAAGAAACTATAATGAAGATCGCGAAAACTAAAAGACCCGAGACAGTCGAAGAGGCGATCTTTGAGCATGTAATGAAAAGAAGAAACGAGGACAACGCGAAAGAAAGCGGAGAAGAGCAGACAATCGGAGTGAGCGAGAAGATCGAAAGAAGCAAAGGAGGAGGAGAACACGGCGCTAGAATCTATCAAGAATTTATGCGCGCGGAACAAGGAAGCGTAGCAAACTCGGAGGAGCCGTCGATGCACACGTAGGCGCTATCATTTTACATAACGCGATATACGATAATCGATTCAGCCATGCGTCTCGTATACGCATAGTTGAATCGACTGTCGTTGCACGGTCTGATGAAACGAATGATTCAATATACGGGAAAT